TGTGTGTGCGCCCAATTTTATGTGAGGACCTTGTTGGCTCCCTCGACGAAGTACGCTGTAGATGTTCTGGGTAAGTTGGGGGCCGCAACGACTCCCTAAAGGCCATAAAGGCCACATTAAAAAGGAGACATTGGGCCTGACCCTCAGCACGTAGTAAGTCACTCCACTCAACAAGACACACTAGGCTGACTGTGGTGTCCAAGTTATTTCGTCAGTTGGCAACCCTCCAAGCCATGGCTTTAAGCGCACCGTGATAGCTTCAAGAGCATCAGATTGTTTATAGTGAGGAAATAAATGTGCTGAGGCTCGACCTCGCTCTCTCCCCCACCTCCAGTATTGTGCTACTCTCGCAAGGATCTTGCCGACGTAATAAAGTGGTAAATTTACTGCAACGTTACCGAAGGTACCGGGTTCAAATCCGGGGTATGCGGTTCCTGTGATATACAGAGGATAGTTTTGTTCATTATGCTGTTTGTGTCATTACTAACGCCTCTTCCTAAAATCAACGGCGAGACTCTTTTGAAGACACTGCAAATTTGTCCTACAGGGACGTCTGTATGACCTTCACCGGATTCCGTTCGGACATCTATTTATAAGATGTGTTTTGAGCTAGGACTAATTTCTTCGACTCCTGCGATCCATACTTTTCGTCTTATTTCCGTACCAGAGACCACTTAATGAGTTAAGTAAGTGGAGTGGATTTTTATGCTTGATAGCCCGTCATTTGGCCTATCTTTTGGTTAGTACACAATAGTTTTCACACATTTAGATTGCTACAGTTCTCCTAGTCATTACTTTCTGATCTTTGCACTGAACATCTTGTTTGGCAGAAATTAACACGAGAAGTAATAAAGAAACCTTATGTTTTTTCGTTGTATGTCGCACTAAAAATAACTTTGAACGGGATAAAGTATAGCAGGTTGTCCGCAAAGGCATATCGCGTCATATGGTGGATTTGATCGTATTCTGCTGAACTCACGTAGGAATATTTGTCTTTTTATATATTGAAGTCAAGTAAGTGACTATTAAATAATTTTTTGTGAGCCATGTTTTGCTATTTTATGTGTTGTTACGAATTTTTAGTAGCTTGCGGGATACCTGAATCTTCATCGGGCCTGAATAATTTCAAGTCATGTCCTGCATGCCCTCCGCTAAGGAAGTAAATGAACTACTCAGTACAATACTTGTGGAGTCCATAAGTTCA